TTCAGTTACAATACCATATTTCTAATCTTTTTAAACTACTTAACAATTCTAAACTATTAAGCTCAACTACTTATATCTGTATTTAATAACTTCAAAACAATTTTTAGTTTTTTACTAATATTTTTTATATTCTAATTTATATATTGATAACTTCAATTATCTAATTACAAATTTTAAAATTATTTAACTTATTAAACATATTGGCTAAACTATTTTAACTAATTCAATTTACAATATTCTACATATTCTAAATAATAGAATTATTTTTCTTAAATCTCTTCTATTCTTCTATTTTAAATATTTTATTTTTAAAAAACAATTCAAGTATTACTAATTATGCTTTCTTAACTAACTACTTATAACAACTTTTGTTTGTTTAACTGGCATTATATCTCTTCTAAACTTAACAAAATCCTAAAAAACATTAAACTATTATAGTTTATTACTTCTAAAAACATTACTATTAGTTATTTTTATAAATACATTTTATACAATTATTTTAAACTTCTATCTATTAATTATTTTTGTTATATCTTGAATAAGAGGTACTACTAATTAGGCTGCCAGAAGTCTTGAACCAAAGAAAAAGAACCTTGGAAAACAGACTCTGAGGTATCTTAAACAGACTATAATCCTTTTAGGCTATCTGAATTAGGAGTCTAAGGTCAGAAACAGAAGTATACTATAAGTATTAAGGATATGCTATGAAATCAGTACTAGAGTTTGGGTAAACTATGCAAGAGTAAGTCCTGTTAATAAGGATTAAATGTGAGTAGTTTGTTAGCAGAAGGGCACTCTTGAGCTTTACAGTCAGATGATGTACTCTGAAATATAAAACAGCTTGACAGACATACAGAAAGAAAAATCAAGGTTAGGTTAAACAGCATTTAATATAGATGTACAGAAACTTGTGTGCTATCTGTCAGTATAGTATAAGAATCAGAATGTTAAAATAGGTAATCTTCTAGTAGATTGCAGGTATGACAGCTAGTGTAGAACCTGCTATGCAGGCAGACTACTTAAATTAGACAACCAAAAGTTGTACGTGTGACTAGTTGTATACTCACCTTGTACAAGTTATGTAATCATAATTAAAATACAATAAAGGCAATAGCTGCCGATAACTACAGCCTTAGTGAAAGCAAAAAAAAAAAAATTAAATTATTCTTATTTTATTTTTTTAAAAAAAATAAGTTAAGCAAGTTGCTTTCCTTTTTTCAAGTTTTGTCAAAATATCTGATTACTGTTTAGATTTTATTAATAAATTACTTGAAATTGATTGGTCATTAGTATGCTTTGTTCTATGATAAGTAATATTATAATTCATATTAACCATATATTTTGTTTGTTTTGATTAATGTTTTGATATATAACTAACTATAACTATATATTTTATTTGTTTTATTATATTTTGATATGTTTTATCAAATAAGATAAACAAACCATTTTCTTCTTGCATTATATTTACTTTTTTTTTAGTATTATTATTATTATTATTTTTAAATTAAAGTTTTTATCTTTAGGCTATAACTTTTTTATTCAAGTTTATAAGATGCAGATGCCTCTAGAGACTTCTTTATATTAAAGATTATATATGCACTTTTGATACTTAATTTAAGTAGTCTACCTATATATTACTATACAAGTTCTAGACTAGATATTATATCTATAAGTCAAGTATAAGGTTTTGTCTATTTAAACCTTTTGTATATAGTTCTTTTATATTATAAAAATATTTCAAAGCACTGCTTATTCAAGTTTTTGATACTTATTAGTATCTTTAAGATTACTTTATCTTTAACAAAAAACTTACTAAAATCTGTTATGTCTTATATACAGCTAATCTAGTTTCATGCAACATGCTATAGTTATCTAATACTTGTAGCTACAGAAGTTACTTGTTTAACTACTACATTATACTATTTCTATTTTTGTAAAGTTTACTAAAACTCTAGTACTTATTTTTCTAATATCTTTTTTATTATCCTTTACTAACTACAGCTTAGAATTAGCAGACATTAGTCAGACTACTAATTCAAATAACCCAATATAATATATTTTTATATTTTTTTCTTTTAGTAAGTCTAGCAACCTGATTAGTTTATACTTTTCTATATATATATTTAGTATTCAGTTTATCTAATCTGTTTTTATGAAGGTAGTTTGTAGGCTTTAATTGGGGTTTTTTTTTTAAATATTAAGGTAAGTACTTGCAACTCAGGATTTTATTGATAGTATATTTGGCTAATAGATGCTTTACAATCATAGAAAGCAACTATGAAAAAAGTATATAACTAGCCACTTATACAACTTTAGTTATTGTCTAATTTAAGTAATCCACCCAAAGATTCTACACTAGCTGCTATACTTGAAACCTGCTTGTAGATTTTCTATTTAACTACTCTAGTTTTTATATTCATCTATCTACCTCTGTCTACCAATGACCTCAGCCAATGCTGATGAAAATATGACATAGTTACTAAGTCTTTAAAGTAGTTTACTCATATAGAAAACCTTTGACCTTGTACTAAACCTTTTAGAATCTTTTGTATTCTATTTTTATAGCTAACTTGGTATTACTATGAACAAGACTAACACTAACAGTTAGGGTGTACTATTAAATTGCTATGTTCTTATAAAGTTTACCCCAACTCTGGTACTGACTTCATAATATATTTCTATTATTTTGGTATTCAATTCAAGTTTTACCAAGCTATCAACTCAGATAGCCTGAAAAGGCAGGTTATAACTATACACCTCTGGTTTACATGTTTGTTAACATATAACTTTTTCTTTTGAAATCTGGAAATTTCAGCAGCCTGGTTGGTTCATCTAGTCCCTTCTTAAAGACCAGCATATTTGTCTAGTTTCACAAGTTTTAGCTTTATTTTATAGGTCTAATCTTTATAGTAACACTGTTAAAAGTTCATGTTACTTCTTTACTTAGATCTTTCAAGTAGGCTTTCATCTTTCTTTATTTGGTTTCTATAATTTACATGACTATAAGGACTTATTGTAGGTTTGCACTGCCTGATACCAGTTTGCATTCCTTTATATAACCACAGATCTTGTCCCAAAGGACAATGTTATATAACTGTTACACAAATACAATGTGACCTGCTAATCATACTAATGTAACATAGATAACAGATATCTTATCCCAACTAATTGCAAAAGACAGTTAACTGTAATACAGAAAAGATTTTTAAATTTTCTGTTAATATTAGAATTTGAACTCTGAACCTGTCACTTGAGGGTTGATAACCTAATCATTTCACTAGGTCATCATATCTCTTAGACTTTAATTAGTTGAATAATACTGTTAAAAGTTTATATTATCTTTTTACTCAAAAATTTCTAATTAGGTTTTTATTACCTTAGTTTCTTAGTCTTTTATATCTAATAGTCTTATTATAAATTTGTATCAAAGTCTTATATAATACTGGTTATTAATATTCTTTTATATATATATAATATTATACTTTACATAGATGTTTTAAGCTTCTAATATTAGGTAATATCTAACTTGATGTATCTGAATTATAGCTACATAAGACCAACTGATAGATAGAAGATAGTTATTATAATACAAATATAATTTTCAAATTTTATTGTAGGTAGAATTTGAACCTTAGATCTGTTACTTAAAAGATAACAACTTAACTACTATATTAAGATTATCATTCTCTAATATTATTATTTGCATTTGCATCTTTGACTATTTATTTATTATTAAAATTTTTATAATCTATTTTGTTATTAATACTTTCAGTTTGTTATAAGAAATTTTTAAAACATCTGTATTTTTTTTGTTGCTTACTTTTGCATTGTTAAATATAATAAATTCTAAGTTTGAAGTTTTTGTTTTTTGATCTTTCTGTTTTGATTACTTATTGGAATACTTGATATAATTAAGCAAGCTTGCTTTTGTTTTCTGAATACAAAAGTTCTACTTTTGTTGCTTTTTTTATAAATAAGTTTTAAAAATTTTTAGTTATTTTGTATATTGAACATTTTTTATTTATAAAAAAACAAAGATTAAAAAAAAGTTTTTTTTTATATATAAGTATTAAATAAACTAGTTTTAGGTTTACAAAAAAAGCAAAAATTTTTTAAATTTTTTTTATAAAACACATCTATAATTTTTTCAATAATTTATAAAAAAAACAAAATAATATTAATGTGATTATTAGTTAGAAGTCTGTACAAGCAAAATTAAATTTTAAACATTTTAAAAACCTTTCAAAATAACAAGTCTGATAAAATAAAAACAGTAAAAAATAAACTAAATTTTCAAAAACAAATTTTATTTGACAAACCAAGCAGGTTGGCAAAAGTTTGAAATTTTAGGTTCATGCAGATTCTTACTGTTAGTAGTAGATAGTTTTGACTCTTTATATTTTAATGCATGTGATTAAAATTTAAAAGAAACATTTATAACAATTGCATTATAACAATCTAAACATATTGTGTCTTTTCTTATAATATAAGAAAACGTTCAATTATTTGGTTATTTTAAAAAAACAAAAGCAGTTACAACCTTCTAAGTTGAAGATTTTCTTTGGCAAATGTTTATAGCACATGGTTTGTTATTTCTACCCATTATGAAAAATCGCTATTAAGGTAATACCCTTTAAATTTTAGATTATAAAAGATTAATTTGAACAGTGGTTTTCTAGCACTCAAACGAATTCATTAGTGAAACGTTACGTTATCGAAAAGTACTTTAAAGTGTATAAATAAGTTACCCGGGCATTGATTTGCATTAGCCGATCTGCCTAGAATGCAAGAATTTTTATATATGTTGGCGATCACCTGATCGCGATCGTTATCTGACTTATTAAAGATTAGATTAAGCATTATCAATGCTAATTCAGTACAATGTAATATCGTTATCTGAAAACCTAATTTTGAAAATTAATCATTATACAGATGATCTCGATCTATGACAAATTATAAAAGTTCACTATCACTATTGGAAAAAAATTCTTTAATTTGATATGTACAAAGACGAAGAGTCAAGCAAAATTAAAAGGTGAGTATTAATTGTAAAAAACGTGAGAATTTCATAAAAATAATCTGAAATACTGAGTCTCATACCCAATTTTTATAAGAGACAACGAACTTGTCTTGACAGACAAAACATCGGGTGTGTCATGGATTTTGCCTACTCCCCTTAAGACAGATGGAAAAGTACAAGCGCAGCCAACGTCTGTTGTTGTTTTGCCAAGAAGGTAAGAAAAAAAAAAAAAAAAGGGGGGATAAATGGCCTGACTTTTCACGCATATTTATTATTGATCCTAATCTTATCCACACCTTTTTTTTGTTCAGTACCAACACACAGTCCTTGACAGTGTTAGACAATCGAACTAATAAACTTTATGAAATTCCAATAACAAATAACACAATATCTGCCCTTAAATTTAAGGAAATACGAGCCGATCCACTACCAGGTTCCCGTGAAGAAGATGAAAGCGGAAAAGGATTAAAGTTCGTTGTGTTAATATTTTACATTTGCAAAATTTTATTGATATTCCAATTTTAATTTAATATTTCATTTGATTGCTGTATTAATAGAGTGTTTGATCCAGGTAATTAACTTTTTTATATATAATTGTTTAATTATGGTTTTTGTATGTTAAAAACTTTCGTTTGATGTTACAAATTTAGCATACCAAAACACTGCTGTCTGCTATTCCAAGATTACATACATTAATGGTGACACTGGAGCTCTACGTTACCGGTAAGATGAGAAATAGATAATAATAATTATGTTTGTATATAATACTTATATTTTGGGATTGTTTTCTCAAGCGGTTACCCGATCGAGCAACTGGCTGAGAAATCTACATACCTTGAAGTTGCATATCTTCTTATTTATGGCGAACTTCCATCCAAACAACAATACGCATATTTCTCTCATGAAATTATGCATCATACATTTGTACATTTTAACGTATCTGAATTAATGCGCAAATTCAATTATGACGCTCACCCAATGGGAATGTTTATCAGCGGTATTTCTGCAATGAGTACTTTTCATCCGGATGCTAACCCGGCTTTAGCTGTAGGTGCTATTTTATTAATAGTATCTACTTATTATTAGTTATTATTTACTACATTAAAATGCACTTATAACTTATCAAACAGGGATCTGATCTATATATTCGTGATGAAAGAATTAGGAACAAACAAATATATAGACTTTTGGGTAAAACACCAACATTGGCCGCGTAAGTTTACTATGTTGTTTGACTGTTATTTTCGTACCAAAAATTTGCAACCTGGTTTCTTTTTGTATTTTAATAGCATTGCATATCGCCATCGTATTGGTCGGTGAGTTGACTTTTTGTCTCTTATGAATAGATATTTTAAATAGTATTGATAATAAAAATTCATATAAATCACTTAATAATATTTTCTAATTTATTTATTGATTTTAACAATAATGTAGAAGTTACAATGTTCCCCAAAACAAAACCCAACAAAAAAGTTTATCTCAAGGGCCAAAGCCCTTGTACCTAAGAAAAAAAAACTCTCTTTAAAAG